AGATGGCCACCAGGTTCCCTCTCAGCCTTCTCCTCTGAAGGCTGAACAGGTTCAGGTCCCATAGCCTCTCCTCGTAGGGTCTGCCCTGCTGTCCCCAGATCATGCGAGTGGCCCTCCTCTGGACCCTCTCAATGCTGTCCACATCCCTTCTGAAGTGCGGCACCCAAAACAGGATGCAGTACTCCAAATGTGGCCTGACCAGTGTCACATAGAGGGGGAGGATCACCTCCTTGGCTCTGCTTGTGATGTATCTGTGGATGCACAAGGTAGTTAGCTCTACTGACCGTGTCCTCGCATTGGCTGCCCATGTTCATCTTGGAATCGATACTGACTCCAAGATCTCTTTCTCCCACCATGCTTTCGAGAAGAGAGTTCCCCAGCCTATAGATATGCTGCTGTCTCTTATTGCCCAAGTGCAGCACCCAGCACTTGTCAGTATTGAATCCCATCCTATTCTCATTTGCCCACCCCTGTAACCTGTCCAGGTCCAGCTGTATCCTGTCCCTCTTTTCTGGCGTGCCCACCTCACCCCAAATCTTGGCATTGTCTGCAAATTTAAACAGGGTGCTTTTTGCCCCCTCATCCAAGTCACTAATAAAGAAATTGAACAGTGTAGGCCCAAACTGAGCCCTGGGGGGCTCCACTGCTCACATCTCTCCAGGTCGAATATAACCCATCCACCACCACTATCTGGGTGCGGCCCCTCAGTCAATTTGTTATCCATCTGACTATAGTCATCAATGCCACAGTTGCCTAGCTTTTTAATGATAATGGGGTGGGAGACAGTGTTAAAGGCCTTCCTGAAGTCCAGAAAGACTACCTCCACTGCAGCACCTGGGTCCAATGATTTTGTGACACGATCATAGAAAGCAATCAGGTTTGTCTAACAGGACCTGCCCTTAATGAAACCACGCTGGCCGCCCCTGGGCATCATCCCCACCGCTGGCCCTTAACAGATGTGCTCCCTGATAATCTTCTCAAACAGCTTCCCCAGGATCAAAGTAAAACTAACGGGCCTATAGTTGCCCGGGTCCTCCCTCCTCCCGTTTTTGAAGATGGGGATCACATTGGCCCTCGTCCAGTCATCCGGCACCTGGTCAGAGCACCATGAGTGCTCATAAAGCCGTGCCAGGGGCCCCGTGATAACCGCTGCCAATTCCCTCAACACCCTAGGGTGGAGACCATCTGGACCTGCCAATTTGAACATGTCCAGCCCCTCCAGTTTTCTAACTCGGTCATCCCTGACCCCAGGCCTGGCGGAGTCTCTCCTGAGTCCATCCCAAATCTCGGTGGGGAAGTCCTGGTCCCTGCACAAAAAAACAGAGGCAAAGAATTTGTTAAAAAGATCCGTTTTTTCCTCTGGTGCAACCACCAGATTGCCTAGCGTATCCTGCAGCGTCCCCACATTACTCGGTGCCTTCTTCATACTCCCTAAGTATTTAAAAAAGGACTTTTTGTTATCCTTGATGCTAGCCCTAGTTCTGTATCTGCCTTAGCTTTCCTAACAGCCCCCCTACAGACCCAAGGGATAGAGGTATAACTCCTCTATGGTGATAGCCCCTCCCTTCCACTGGGCATACACCTCCTTTTTGGCAATCAGGCATTCCCAAATGCCCTTGGGTAAGCCAGGGGGGCTTTTGAGCACTCTTGCCCCCTTTGATTCTCGTTGGGACTGTCACCCCTTGGGCTCTGAGTATCGTCTCCTTAAGGAACGACCACTCATCTCAGGCACCCAGTTCCCCTACTCTCCAGGACCCCAGTGCCTCTCCTACCAATTTCCTCAACTCATTGAAGTTGGCCCTCTTGAAGTCAAGGGCTACTGCCTTGCTGTAGGCCCTTGACACCCTGTGCTGGATGGTGAATTCCAGCAGGCGATGATCACTGTCGCCCAGGTGGTTCTTTGTGGGCCCCCTTCTACCTTTTCTGAATCAGCAAGGTAAGGGCACTGAAGACCAGCAGAAAAATGTCTGTGAACAGACACATTCTATGGCATGGCATAATGTATTGCTACAAAACTACTAATGTTTATAGTATTACAATGAATGTTATAAAGACATATGTTTGCAGTTAAAATGATCAGCTTGAGAAGGGCTAGAAAATTCACACACACACACAAAAAAAAAAATCACTGAAGTTTCACCCAAGGGATACAAGGAACTTAACTGTTCTCCTCATTTATCATCTATCTAGTTAAAAAAAAAAAAAAAGTAAGCCAGCTTCACATACAGGTTTCCCATGCTTAACAGGAAATAAGAACATTTTGTTTTCTGACCTTGCAATATCTGTCTAATTTTACCACATCAAATAAGATGAGAAAGATTATATTACATCAGACAAGAGAGCTGTTAAAATGATAGCTGCAGCTAGATGGTGTTATTAGTGGTGAAGCCTATGAGCAACTTTGTCACCAGCTATCCATAAAGAGCCAGAAAATTATCCTAACTGTTCTCACCCACCCACCCACACACACACACACACACAGATATCTGACAAAAACGCTGTAATAAACTTTAAGTCTTAGAAAGTGTACTTATTACACATATACACAAATGAGTTGCCTCTAAATGTAACCCTCTTCTCTCCCCCCACCATCTTCCCCTAACTGAAATATAAGCCAATAAAAAAGTTATTTGTCTTCAGCATAATCTATGAAAGTCAAGAAAAAACGTTGTTTGTCTTCAAATAGCACCTAGAGATTGTAATGAGAAGTGAGGCTGCTTTACTTCAGGTGTGGTACACCTAGAATAGAAAAATAGTTGCTGCCGCGAAAGCTTATAATGTAAGCAACATTAGAGGAAACAAATGTGTTAGTTTATGTAATCACTATGAGCAGAACATTTAATTTTAAAATATACTATGCATATGTATAGCCTATGTAAAGTGAATAATCTAATTTATTTTTTCTTTGTAAATATCAGCCTTTCCTGATGGCCACCTGCTTAACTTCAATCAGTTGACAGTTTCCTACAAACCTCAAAGTAGAAATACATTTCAAAATATTTAATTTTACTTAGCAACTCTAAGGAAAGTGTCCCACATGTACACGGCACCATAGAAAAAAGAATAAAGAAGTTTGTAAGAAAAACTGACCAATGGAAAAAGTGATACAATATAAGAACCACAAGAGGGTAAGTAGGTACAGACTACATTCTAAACAGCCACAAAGGGTCAGGAAGGCTCTTTCTTAAAACTGAACTAGTATTTGGAGTGTGAAAATGGAAAATGAAGTCTTTTTATTTCTCAGGTTAATATGTATTCAAGCAAGTAACGCACAGACTGTCAGACACCAGTGATGGGTATAAAATGAGAACCCGTGTAAACGGAAATAGGCTATCAGAGTTCACCTTCCCCATCTGCTTCCATGTCACAGCAGGGAGATGGAGTAACCATCTTCTCTCTAGGGTTAAGAGCTATTTACTGGTCGAGACCAAACTTATACTAGTTCAGCCCCTGGCCAAGTTCTTAGAGGTAACACATTTCTCTGATGGTATTTTTTAATAGAAATCAAATTAAGGGAGAAGCTGAGTCAAGACCTGACCTAGGTCACTTACAGAATTTGTTTTTTCTAGACAGAGAAAAATTAAGTCTAGCTTGATGATCTCCATAGAAAAGCAGATGCCCCACCTAAAGAGTTCCCTCAGATCACCTCTTTTTTTGAATATAGGTAATACCTACTTTCTTTTATATCTACTTTTTTTTCCCTGGACTCATGATGGTATTAATGAGTAACTGTTAAAATAACGTTTGTGTGAAACTACATCTGTCATAGACCCTTATCTGAATAGTAAATGTCAAGAACAGAACAAAGGTTACACAAGATACAGGGAACGTCATGCATGTTACCAGGTTTTGTCACAGAAGACATCTAGGTTAACCATCGACTTGGTATTGTCCTCTGGAGACAGCAAAATTGTGAGGGGGAAGTCAACAGTCTCTAGCTTTCTCCTAGAGAAAATTTCTATGCCCTTTTATTTCTCAGTTTCATCACAGCACTCTCCCATTTTGTCACATAAGAAGCTCAACTCACACAATTACCTGCTTTCCACTGGCATTCCCTAGTAACATGCACAAAACGTATCCTCCATTATGGCTTCAACTTCTACAGTACACAGAGCCACTTTTGACATGACTTTCTTCTTCAGCCTTCCCTATATCCCTCCTCTGTGAAACATTCAGGACTGGATCCTGAGCCTGATTCACAAGGGTAGAAAAATGGATCCTATTTCTAGGCACTTTTACATAGTTACTGCATTACATTTGAATACCTAATGGACCACCTTCTCTACTGACATGTTCCTTCTCTAAGTGGGGTAGCAGGAAGGAAGTATACTTTTAGTTCAGCCTTTTCCTTCTTTCCAATAAAAGCAGTCACCTCTAGTTTCTTACACAAACACTCTCTTTTAAATCCTAAGTGGAAATGGCACAAGCAGGAAAACACATTTTTGCTCTAAGTACCTATTAAGAATAACCAGGGACATGCTTATGCAGAGACTTTCTTGTGTCCTTTTTATTTTCTGAATGTTAGGCACTTAAACAAGTGTTTTAAATAGAAGAGGCTTGAATGGGCTGGGTTCTGTTGTAATGGAACATTGGGTCTAGTCCTCCTACTCCCACTAAATCTATACCAAAACTCTCACCAGCTTCAAGGGGAGCAAGATCATTCAACAAGAGAAAGATCAGGACTTCTGGCAACCTGAAACCTCTTGCAAAATACTCCAGTCCTAAAACTGCACATGCAATAACTACAGAAAGTACAAGCTTGGATTGTCACATGGCTCAACCATACAGAGGTCCAGCAGAAACCAAGAGTAACAAATACAAAGAGTGACAAATACACAGCACTTCTGATGTTGAAAACTGCTTAAGTACTACACTCATAGTCACAATTTAAAACATGTGGATTTTGATAACTAATAAAGATACCATTGTCTACAGCTCTTAAGATATCACATGTACTGTTTCATAACTATATTTAAGTAAGAGAGTGAGAACAAAATTACCAAGACCGATATTTGTTGCAAGCGTCTGATTTGATGCAACACAACCACCAGTACAAACCACTGGGGATCTCCGAGAACAGAATTTAAGCTGGGACATCTTTTCCAAGCCAAGGCACCTACGTTGCAAGAAACCTGAAAAAAAAGACATATGAAAGACTGCATGAAACCACCTCTATTCAGTCTTTAGCCCTCAGGGCACCTGTATTAGGAGCATAATCTCAGTACCTCATTCTCACCTGCTCCAATTTACAGACTGTAACAGTAACTTGCCTAATGCATTTCCTTAGCTCTGCACAGCCGCATCCAGGGCACTGCAATGAAGACTGAATGAATGAGATCATATAAAATTAATTCTGTGTATGTCACCTCCTTTTTTCTTTGAGACGCATCTGTAAACAGCTTGCAATTTTCTCAGAATGGCTTTATTATAGTCTCTTTCTAGCAAATACTTAAGCGGCAAACTGCCCTTGCGTAACTCCAAGCTGGTTTCCAGCTGCAGAGCTGCTTTGGCTAGACATGCACCTGGTCAAGTTCTTGTCACCAAGTCGATTTAACCCTTTTAAAAAGTCTTCAAGAGTCCAGACTAATTGAGCTCAAGTCAGTGAATTCATTCAAGTTGTAATCAATTGGCAAAGCAGAGGCAGGCCTTCCCATTCCCCAAGGAAAGAGATGGCAGCTGCAGTGAAGCAGGGGCAGTACCAGGGTTTTAAATACCCCTTTCTTTACAGGCATTTTGTTTTACAGCAGATTGACCCAGGATGCTCCAGACCTCGATCAAGGTCCTGAGGAAGTTTCTTATCTGGCTTTGAGCAAATCAAGCTGAAAACGCAACAGAATCAAAGGCCTCTGCCAAGTAGGGCCCTGGGCTGGACACCGCCACAGCCATCCTATCCAGGCCCTCCTGGGTGCAGGTTTTGGCACCAAGCAGCGCTAGTTCTTGGTACCACCTTAGCATCTGCGCCGAGCACCCCGGGGCGGGGCAGGGCGAGCAGCTGCCTGGGGCCGCCCAGCTCCGAGCTGCCCCCGGGGCTGCGGGACAGACAGTCTGGGCGCGTGTAATCGTTCGCCAGCAGCGCCGGTGCGACTGTCTCGAAGGCAGCCCGGGCGGCCGGGCCTCAGCGTGGGGCACGTGACGGCAGAGCCGGCGGGGGCCTGGCTCGCTGCGCGCAC